TTTTTTTAAAAAAAAAAACTCAGCATTTATTGATTTTGTCAAAATCTCTTGATCAGCATTTATTAATTTTTTTCAATGCACATGTCTTTCCACATGCCTGCATTTATTGATTTGGTCAAAATCATTTGATCAGCATTTAAAATTCCCTCAAACAAATAATTATAGATACAATCTGTGTATAGTTACTGTAGTACCCTTTTCAACTTCTCTCATACACTATGGTTAGTGATAAGATTGTTAAATTATTTTTATAAAAAATCTTAAAAAACATAATTTATATATTAAAAAAATCTAAAATAAATATAAATAACTATAATTATCCCGTATATTGTAGATATTAAAAGCCAAAAAATAAATTTTTACTCATTTATCCCAGCAAGCCATTGTAGATATTAATGAGCAAATTTAACATAAATATTTGGTCAATAAATGCTATGCGAATGGAATTGACGCAAATAGAGCGTGGCTTTCACGATCAATCATTGAAAGTGGGACTAAAATAATCAGGCCAAATAGATATGGATATTTTTATAAGAGATTGATCACCTGACAGCACGGTTACACAAGCTATCTCAAAACCAAACTTGAGAACAATGAAATTAAATTGAATCTTCTCTATCTTTATCCACAACACAACACGACGAACTTTGAGATTCTCCAAAGTCACCGACCTGTTCCTATTACACAATCTCTATTTCTTCCTTGTTGGAGTTCAGCTATCTTCAATTCAAATTCCGGTGTCCGAAACTGGCTGTCACCGGTTGTCACCGGGTGGGGTAACGCACACGTGTCGGTGGACCATACTGACTTTACGTCTCTAGAGAGAACTTTGTTTCGTTTTTTAAAAAAAACTCACGCATATGCACACTGCCTTACGTTACGACATCTAATGGTATATACGAAATTTTGTGATCAAAAGTCCAGGTGGAATGTTGTTGCTTTCAATAAAAGTGATTATATTGAGGGATTTGGGAAGAGGGATTTTAATTCAATTTATGTTAAAATTTATAAAAGAATAAAATATGCTTAAATAGTTTATAAGATAAAATATTATATCAAATTTAGATTTTATTTGTCATAATTTAAAAAAGTTAAAAAGTCACTTACATCATTTTATTTAAGTCAAATTATCTCTCTGTCACATCATTTTAAGCCCAACTCATACTCAACTTATATGTCATAAAAAGTCAAAAAGTACACTTATTTAGATCATCTCAAACCACCCCTTATAATTATTTCACTTTTTATTTTACAAACATCACATTCAACTATAAAAAAAATCCAATTATCTTCACAAATACAAAAATTTTAACCTACTACAACAGTCAAAAACTAAAATAACAACTTCTCATACATAATTTCACTTCATTTTTTTATCCCCTAAAGGACAAGAATGTCATGCCTCCGTTTGAGAAGGAAGATTTGAGCTAAAATAGTCATATAAGACAAAATAAGTTATTTTAGCACAATAAGACAAAAATCATATCAAATTTATAATCATTACATTTTTTCTCTCACAAAAAGTCAAAAAAATCAAAAAGTCTTTCCCAAACGAGACTTTTTAGCTCCAGGCTAAAATAGTTAAAAAGTCAAAAAGTTAACATACTTCTCAAATGAACCCTATATATGTTTTGAATATCTAATTTTCAAATTTTATAAGATTTTATTACTTTTTTTCTTAATTATATTTGAATACTAACCGTGAATCCGTACTATGCACGAGATACAAATAATAAATTTAATTATATTTTTTTAATGAAAATTTAAGTGATTTATTATTTATGTTTCAACGTTACACTAACAATATGATTTATATAAAATATTTTATATATTGTTATTTTTTAAATTTATTAATGTAATAAAAAAAATTATTTTGCAAAAATAAATATTGCATTTTAATATAAATTTTTAAAGTAGTGTTAGTGTGTTTATAACTTGCAAACATATTAACTATACATTGAAAATTCATCTAAAAAATTATTTTTACAATTTTGAAAATATTTCCATATTTCCAAATTTTTCCTTTTGAAAAACATGTATTTTTTAATTATTACATTAATGTGTTAGCCAATTTGTTAGCCATTAATTATTTTAAAAATTATTTTTTAATTCAAAAATTTTTAAAAATTAGTTAGAAGTTTTGAAACTCCCACAAGACTCCTCACGAAAAGTCCCTTTGCTATAATATAGACTATATATTTACTTATATTCTATTTCTCTTATGCTAAATTTATTGAATAAAATTTAGATTTCATATTATATACTTTTATATTATTATTACATTTTATATTTTAAACTTATGTTTGTGATAATACTAGTAAAGTAAAGAAAATTAAATAAATCTAACAATAGAAAAATTATTCATAGTCATTAAAACTAATATAAAAAATAGTATATACATTAGATCATGTTTTAAAACTAAACAAAAATTTTAAAAATAATTGAGACGTCGTTTGGCATGTGTATGTTTTAACCTAACAGTTAAAAATTTATTAAAAAAATCAAAAAGTCTATATCCTATACCAAAAAATTAAAAATTCTCTTTTGTCTCTATTTTTTGCACATCTTTTCGTAAAAAATTAAAAAGTCACTCTAAACATATATTTTTTTTTATCTCATATTTTAGCCAAAAAGTTAAAAATTTACTAAAATAATATGTTCTCAAACAATGCCTGAATCTCAATAAATGTGATTCTGAAATAAAAACATATGTATTGATATATTTTCCTAAAATTGTGCGAAAAATTAAAAAATTCACGATTTTAGTTGCCGCAACCGTTATGCTACAACCATTACATTCCACAATCACGTCAACGCTACCTGTACCGTTACAGTAACCGTCACCATTATTTAAATCTTTGGCCATGGCGATATAGGAAATATTTTCCTGGTGAAGTTTTGAATTTTGAAGTTTGCAGTTTAAGAGACGCCAATATTAATAGCAGCAAAGAATGGTATCAATGAACTAGATCGTATCCTCGTCGATTTTCCTGAGGCCATACATGATGTGAACCCAGAAGGAAAGAATTTGGTGCTCTTGGCAGTGGAAAATAGGCAACCTCATATCTACAAAACGTTGCGAGCAAAAAAAAATTTCACTGATAGTCTGTTGTGCTGCGTCGACAATGAAGGAAACAATGCATTGCATTATGCTGCAATGCTCAAAACCTATCAGTCATGGGTTGCTCCAGATGCTGTGCTTCAAATGCAATGGGAAATCAAGTGGTACCTGGTAAGAACTAAGTAAGGTTCTAAATATCCGTACGGGCCGGTTCGTACCGAAATATGCCACCACCGAGTCGGATACTCACCGGTATACCGGTGAGAACGAATTTCGCGTCCGTAACGGCCGATTCCCGCTACGTATCGGCTTGTATTCGACACGTGAGCGTTCCAATTCCGATATAGTCCGATTCGGCTAAAAAACGAGCAAAGCATATGGAAAAATAATTGAGAAAAGCAAGTCACATGGAAAAACAAATCACCTGGAGAAGCATCAAATCGGGCCAAACCTCAAATCCAAATCAAACCCAATCGGACCAAACTCAACTCAACTCCCCAAAGTTTTCCCTCAATCGGACCAAACTCAACTCCCCAATCAAACCCAAATCCATCTTCCAGGGGCATCGATCTTGTAAAATGTTGCAAGGAGAAGCATCGAATCGAACCCAAACCATCATCGATTTCAAGTTCCTTCATTGAAGGTTTTTCTCTCATGCTCTGTTTACCTCTGTTTACATTTGTTTCGTGCTCTGCTTTTTGCTTTGGCTGAACACTTCAAATGGTTTTGCTTTTGATAGGTTTGTTTATATTATATTAAAAGTCTATATCCTATACCAAAAAATTAAAAATTCTCTTTTGTCTCTATTTTTTGCACATCTTTTCGTAAAAAATTAAAAAGTCACTCTAAACATTTTTTTTTTATCTCATATTTTAGTCAAAAAGCTAAAAAGTTACTAAAATAATATGTTCTCAAACAATGCCTGAATCTCAATAAATGTGATTCTGAAATAAAAACATATGTATTGATATATTTTCCTAAAATTGTGCGAAAAATTAAAAAATTCACGATTTTAGTTGCCGCAACCGTTATGCTACAACCATTACATTCCACAATCACGTCAACGCTACCTGTACCGTTACAGTAACCGTCACCATTATTTAAATCTTTGGCCATGGCGATATAGGAAATATTTTCCTGGTGAAGTTTTGAATTTTGAAGTTTGCAGTTTAAGAGACGCCAATATTAATAGCAGCAAAGAATGGTATCAATGAACTAGATCGTATCCTCGTCGATTTTCCTGAGGCCATACATGATGTGAACCCAGAAGGAAAGAATTTGGTGCTCTTGGCAGTGGAAAATAGGCAACCTCATATCTACAAAACGTTGCGAGCAAAAAAAAATTTCACTGATAGTCTGTTGTGCTGCGTCGACAATGAAGGAAACAATGCATTGCATTATGCTGCAATGCTCAAAACCTATCAGTCATGGGTTGCTCCAGATGCTGTGCTTCAAATGCAATGGGAAATCAAGTGGTACCTGGTAAGAACTAACACGTCAGGTTTATGTATATGTTGATTTCACAAGATCACTATAGTTACTATTGGGAATTATTATATATATATATATGCATATGTTAGTCATCATCATATATAGGAGTATATAGATTTGCTTGAACTCTTTCTACTCTGCAGTTTATTAAGGAAACTATACCAAAGCAGTTATCGGCTAGCGAAAACAACAAAGGCAAGACCCCGGAAGAGATATTCATGAAGACACATAGTGAACTTGTGGATTTGGACACAAATTGGCTAATGAAAACCTCAGACTCATGCACCCTCGTTGCAACACTGATCGCAACAGTCGCCTTTGCCACTTCAGCCAGCGTCCCCGGTGGCGTTGAAGGAAGGAATGGGGAACCAGTTCTCAGACAACAGGGCATGTTTGAGGTCTTCGCCATCGCATCACTCGTGGCTCTCTGCTTTTCATGCATATCTGCAATCATGTTCCTCTCCATTCTCACCTCTCGACACCAAACCATGGATTTTGGTACCGACTTGCCCAGGAAGCTCCTGATTGGTTTAACCGCCCTCTTCATATCAATAGCTTCCATGCTTGCATCTTTTTGCGGCGGACATTTCTTCATCGTCAAAGACATAATGAGAGGCGCAAGTATTGCTGAATATTTTGTCGTACTTGTACCTGTGGGATTTTTCTTGGGCGCGCAGTTTCCACTCTACTTTAAGCTGATGTTAGCTACATTTACCAAGGTCCCTGAGCGTGGCTTCATGCTAGCTTCCAAGATCCAAGGGGGAGAGGCGCCAGGTCAAAAGAAGAAAAAACCCAAAAAAAAAGGGCGAGAGGCACCAAAACCAGAAGGACAAACTTCCCTTAACTCCACTCCTACCAGCTCCACACCAGCACCAGTAGTCCCACCTTTAGCACATCCATCGAACCCACGTCCTATGTCATCAAACTCTGTTCCAGATCAAGTACTCCCAGCTTGAACACCACAAGCAAACCCAAGTTCTACCTCGAACCCGAGCCCGCAGCAGGTTGCTGATTCCATGTGTGTCTTTGTTGTGTGTGTGTTTTCTCTTCTTGTGTCCCGACTTCTTTCCTTGAGTTTGATGATGATCATGAATAAACTTTGGAGTGATTTTTAATTCAGTACTTTAACAAGTGACCAAGGTATATGTATGTCTCGTCGTCTTAATTGGTCTGGCTAGTGAGTTGTTCTACTCCCTGTTTGCTTGTTTGGTTTGTAATAATGAAAAACTTTTCATGAAAATAATCATGAAAGTTTCGTGACCCTTCAATTACATTTAAAATAAAGCACCACACACTAATCAAGGTAATTCAAGAATCATAAATTTTTCATGATCATTTTCATGACAAAATTTTCATGATTCCTAACTTTTCTCTTGTACCAATAATGCTGGTGCTCGGTCAGTCACATCACATCTTCTTCTACCCCTTTACCTCTCATATGTATCTGATTGTTTGATCATTAATAAATTAATTTTTATCTGATATGTATGATTGTTCTTATTCCCTGTTTGCTTGTTTGATTTGTAATATGTATCTGATTGTTTGATCATTAATGAATTAATTCTTACTTTATCCACCCAAAAACAAAACAAAGAAAAACGTTACACTTGAATGTTGTACTGTGCAAATAACTATGAATATAACTAAGGAAAATTCTAATATATATAGCTTTAAAAAAAGTGTATCATATATATTTTTAGTTATTTTATTTTATTTTTTAGTTATGATTAATTTTATTTTTTAGTTTTAATTCATGAGTTCTTTAAATATGACTCATATCGTATTTACTTGTGACTTTTTTTTTTTTTCACTATTTAGAAAATTGAAATTATATCGTTTTTCTTTTGATTATAAAGTACATATTTTTATTATAAAATATATATAGTACACACTCTTCAAAAAAGTATGCACCATAGTGTTTCCCATAACTAAAATAATATTTCATTCGTGGACATTATTAATTAATTATATTAGCTTGGCATATAATTAGCAGCAAGAGCACCAATTTTATGAGGTTTTTCTTGTTCTCAATTTTTTCTATTGTTAGTGCGGGAGGGAATCATGTAACTCGCACTTGTGCCTTTTTGTTAATTTTTTAATTATCAACTTATTTATAACTTTAACACTCAAGAAAAAAAAAAATTGTGTGGGCAATTAATTTTGAACTTATAATTTCTTGCAAGTTTTGATAATAATATGATAATAGAAGCCAATACTGAGTGGTTTTTTCCACCAACTATCAATAGAAAAATGATCACAATAATGTTTAAATCATGGGATAGAGATGAGGCCAAACGCGATTGAGATCCTCTTCATTTTTAAATTACAATAATGTTAGGAATATTTTATACATTTATTAACATCAATTTACTAACATATTCATAAGTTTTGATAAGAACAACCATTACTTGTATAGAGACTTAATCAATCTATGAGTATATTAGTAATTTTCATATTCCTAGCATTTTTTTTTAAAATTATAATAAATAATTTCATTACATTATTTATAAATTTGTAATTTTTTCTTTAAATTTAGAATAGTAATAAATTTTATAATTATTTCACAACTCTTAAACATATGAGAAAGATTCTCTATTATAACCATATAATAAAGAGGATCTCAGTATGCAACAGTCTTCATCATAGCTATAGAACTACTTCGATGAGGATTTTGACTATTTTCAGCATGAACTAGAAAGAATGGGAGAGTGCGCGGATCACGTGACGGCATAGTGAGTAGGAGTCGTTTGGGTAAATGATTATTTTAGTCAAAAAAAAATCTTTTAAAAAATTCAATGTATACAAAAAGAATTAAGAGAAAATTACAACCAAAAAAAAATATTTCAGAATTTGACCTTTATAACAAAATAAGAAATAAAAAAAATAATCTAAACTATTATCTATTTCTATTAATGAAAACGAAAAAAAAAATAATATTTTAGTCGCTAAAATTCATAAATAAAAAAAAAAATAGTATTTAAGACATTTTATGTATTATATTTAGTTTAATCACTAAAATCAACTTATTTTTTTATTTTTTATCAATTTTACTTAACAGAAATATGCTAATGGTTTAAGTTAAATAAATCAAAAGAATATGATTTAAATTGACAAAATTAAATACACAAAATTTATTTTGTTACAACAGTCAGACTCTAAATTTTTTTATTTTCTCAAAAATTAAAGATTCATTCACTTTACTTTTTTAAATATTTTTTTATAAAAAGTTATTTCGAAACATATATACTCTTTTTTTTTCAAAAACTTTTATAATTTTTTTGTAAAAATAAAAAATAGTTTGACTAAAATAAATACTAAAAATGTATTTCTGAATTTTGAAAAATTATTTCTACACTCCAAAAAAGATAAAACTACATGGAAATGATGATTTATTTTATTTTATTTTTTTATTAAATTGATTTTTGTTTCATTTTTTAAAATTTTAAAAAACAAAATTTGAAAACTAAACCAAACAAAGCGATTGCTTTTTGTCATCTCATATTTTAACTAAAATGTCATTAAAAAAAGAAAAATGCTTGGGAGCACTAATTAGTGCTCCCACTAATTAGGTGGCAGTAAGTCTCGCCATTAATGATGTGATGTTTTGGTCTTGGAGTTGTATTTTTTTTTTTTTTACTTTTTTAATGCATTAGTGCTATTAGTGGTGATGTTTTTAGGGGGATGAATCATTGTTGTTAAAAAAATCACTTCTAAACATGTCCTGAAATGAAAAATTATTAAAGATTATGTGATACAATAATATTACGTATCTATAAAAATTTACCCTTAAAAATATGTAAAAAAAATAATCTTGTAATTTAGATTAATTGCAAGATCCCACAACACATAATATAATATGTACAACACATCAATTTTTTGGTAAGAATCATCGTAAATTTTCTAGGTGAAATTTTTTTCTATTGTGCAATATAATCTTTGTCATACTGCGAGTGTCATGTCCATTCTCGACAAATAAGAAATCTCAATGCACACTAAGGTAATGTTTGATTACAGGGCCGGTTGGTGTAGCTATATCAAGTTAAAAATTGATAATTAAAAGACAAATGAGAAATCTTAATGCATACTAAGATGGTGTTTGATTATAGGGCAGGTTGGTGTCGTTATAACAAGTTAAAAATTGATAATTAAAAAATAAAAATTAAATATACCATTTTCTTAATTTCTAAATAATTAATTTTTCTAAATTTTTTTTAAGTTATATTTTGTCTAATAAACCATCAAATAGTTTAACAGAGACTTTCAGAATAGACAAAAAACTATAAACTTGTCAAATAAGGTGTACCAAACCGTCTCATAGAACTGCTTATAGCTTCTTCTTCTTTTTATTTTGAAATTTTGTGTGCAATTTCTACTTTCAATTTATGAAGTAAAAATAATTTAAATAAGCTAAAAAATTAATTATCAATAAACCAATGAAGGGATACTATTAACTTTTACTTTTAAATTATTAACTTTCAACTTTTGAAAATTTGCACCAAATAGATCATATGTGAATCATTGTTTGTGTTTTAACTACACAAAAAATATGAGTTACTATATCCCATTGGTAAAAATTTTCATTATGTAATTAGTTTGAAACACCATAATTATAGATAAAATCAAATGGTGTTATGAGATAATTGAATAATTATTCTTAGTTACTCAAATTCATATTAAATAACCATTACTCATTTTCTTACATAGCCGTTATTCCTACTCCATTTTACTCCAAATACACACCATTCTTGTCCTTATTATATATTATGAGAGTAGAAAGAGAAGAGAAAAGATAACTCTCATATTCAATTGAATTATGAAATACGAGAAGCCTGTATATATAGGCTGAGAAAAAACCTAGATAAGTATAGAAAAGGAGATAAAGATACATCAGAGATATAGATAGATAAGTATAAAACAATAATATATACATCTTACACCCCCTCCCCCTCAAGCTCAAGGTGGTAATGCAGATATCAAGTTGAGCTTGGAAAGTAAATCAAAAATCATCTTGGAGAATGAGCCTTGGTGAAGATGTCAGCTGTCTGGCCGGCAGAGATAACAAAGATAAGACGAACAATGCCACTAGTAACTTGTTGCCAAATGAAGTGACAATCAATCTCAATATGCTTGATGCGATCATGGAAGACACCATTATATGCAATCTAAATAGCACTTTGATTGTTACAATAGAGGGTAGTGGCAGCAAGATGGGGAATTCTCATATCAATAAGAAGCCAACGAAGTCACACAAGCTCTTGAGTAGTATCCACAAGAGCAAGATACTCAGCATCAGTACTAGAACGAGCAACAAGAGTTTGCTTCTTGCTATGTCAGGTAATGAGAGAATCACCCAAGAAGAAGTAGAACCCTGTAGTAGAGCGGCGGTTAGTATGATCCCCGACCTAATCTGCATCAGAAAATGCATGTAACTGTAGAGAAGAGTGTTAAATTAGTGAAGACCATGGAACATAGTGCCGTTTAGATAGCGCAAAATACAAACTAGAGCATCATAGTGTGGAGAACAAGGAGCATCCATGAACTGACTGACAATGTGAACAGTATAGGCAATGTCTGGATGAGTAACTGTGAGATAGACAAGACTACCAAGTAGCTGACGATATAAAGTAGCAGCAGATAATAGGTGACCATCAAGAGGTGTGAGATGAGTCTGAGGATCAACTGGAGTAGTAGCAGTCTTGCAATCGGTAAGACCAACATGAGTCAAGAGATCAGAGATATACTTGGCCTGGGTTAGAAAGTAACCAGAATGATCATGAGAAATTTCCAAGCCAGGGAAATAGCTAAGCAAACCCAAATCTTTCATCTCAAACTGGTGAATGAGGAACTGTTTGAGACTAGAGATACCCACTATGTCATCGCCAGTGATGATCATATCATCCACATAGAGAAGAAGAAGAAAAAGAAGAAGAATACCACGCTCTGTCTGACATATAAACAAGGCAAAATCATAGGCACTAGATGGGAAGCCAAAGTCATGAATGGTAGCACTGAACTTGGCAAACCAGGCATGAGGAGCTTGTTTCAAACCATACAAAGCACGGCGACGTTCGCAACCTTTGATGGATGGAACAGAGGAACCAGGCGGAGTTTACATATAAATTTCCTCAGTGAGATCACCATTGAGAAAGGAATTTTTGACATCCATCTGATAAAGACTCAAGTGGCGAGCAACAACAACTGCTAACAAACTGTGAACTGAAGTAAGACGAGCAGCAGGAGCAAATGTTTCCTTATAGTCAATCTTATACTCTTCAATGAATCCTCGGGCAACAAGACGGGCTTTGTAACGTTCAATGGAACCATCAGAATGAGTATTGATCTTATAAACCCATTCACAACTAATAGCAGCTGTAGACGTCCCCGAACGCCCCGGGGAGGAACGAGTCCCCCCCGTTCCGT